TTGAGGAACCAAGCAAGAGCTATCTAAGACCGTGGCTACGTGTCACGGTCGCCACAGGGCTCATGTGACAGGATTGATTCTATTGGCTGCATTGTGCTTAGGGTGTGGCCTGTGCGCACTGAGCACCACTACCTATTTCTCCGCGCCCTGCGCGGACCCGGCGATAGATTCCTTTCTCTTCCTTAGCTTTAAATCCACATTCGTTGCTGCCTTCAACCATTGACATCCCTACTGCGTAAGGCGGGCCGTCACACTACGGTCGTCGTATATATCTATGTAATGTGGACCAATAGAAATAGTCCCACTGTCCCGTAGCCCCGTGTCTGGGACACCAGCCGCCCGGGACTGTCCCGTGTCACGACCAGGGCAAGGCATTGAGGTGAACTCAGTCCATTGGGTGCTATCGACGAAGATTCTAAACTGAGGAAGGAAAGAAGGAAAAGTCCAACAACGCGTCGCGTGCTCGCGAATAAGTTTTCATCTATCAGTGGGGTAGGTGGGGCCTCGAAGCGGCTTCTGATAGGCCCGGGGTTCTGGGCGGCTCTGGCTGCTTGAGGGCCAGTTTGGTGGACGGGTCCTCACATCCCGCGTCCCCGTGATCTAGAGCTCGGGACTCTGGGAGACTCCTGATTGGTCCGTACCAAATAGAGTGTGCCCCACTGTCGTGCATTTCCACAGGGATTCGTAACAGCTTCTATATGTTTATATACTTACTGGACGTCAAGAGCCTCTTCTTCTTGGAGACTTCTATTCGTACTAGCGCTTAGTACGTGATGGGGCTCCACTTCAGCTTTAGAGCCCCATCGTATGGAGTCAAAAGCTACGATAAGTAGGCTCCTAGTGTGACGGCCCGCCTTACGAAGGTAGGGAAGTCAAAGGTTGAAGGCAGTAACGAATGTGGATTCAAAGCTAAGGAAGAGAAAAGACTCTATCGCGGGGTCCACGCAGGGCGCGGAGAAATAGGTGGTGCTGAGCAAGTGAGGCAGTGCGCACAGACCACACTCTAACCACAATGCAGCCAATAGAATCAATCCTGTCACATGAGCCCTGTAGCGACCGTGACACCTAGCGTCAAGTACGAAGCGGGAGCCTAGTGGATTCGAGGCCGTTGAGGCAACACAGGCAATACGAACTAGGCGGCCAAGCCAGTGTACGGCTTGCGGTAAAATTGGTAATATACGGACCTCTCGGGTATGCTCGAAGCGTTATTCAGATATTGTACGGATTGATTGAATGGCTGGCTAGCTGGTTGTGGTGTTGGCGATACGTTGGCTGTGGTGGGGGAAAAGGCAGCGCAAAAATGGGCTGCGTTAGATGCATTTTTGGAATTATGTCAGCGACTCTCACTCTTACGTAAGCGCACGGACCCGTGCGTCTAGTGGGAGCCAGCCTCATCAACCCCAGCGACTCCACACACTTTACAATACAAAGCCAATATTGTCAAGGGATCCCGTTGTCAATCATGGCCGAATACGACCCGAAGAGACAGCCCGAGGCTGTAACCCATCAGCTGCCGCTGCTGGCCGCTGACGGCTCAACCACGCCCGCCTCTCTCGATGTGCCGGCTACCGAATACGAAATCGAGCTCCTATTAACCTCCTACGAAGCCAGCCTAGTCAAGAAGTTTCGCCAAGATATCCGCCTCTGCGAAACCGACATAGAGAAACTCGACAAGTGCATACAGAAGCGGGATGAGCTGCTTGAGGAGAACGACAAGCTGGTCCTCCGGCTGGCCGCCTTCGAGCATGTCATGTCAATTGAATGCGTCTGGTATAAAGGCAGGAAAGAGCGTATACGCCAACCAGTAGGCCTGCTGAAGGGGACGAAGGAGAACGGTGCGGAAAAGTGGGACCGATTCGTGGGCGTTGCCAAAGTCGGATTGGACACCATATCGAAGTTGCTCCCGCCCCTTAAGGTAATTAGCTTACAGTGGGGTAAGGATTTCGTTCAACATTACCAGCTGGCCAGCAAAGGGCAGTTTTACTGCAACAAATTCTCAGCAGCTGTAAAACTATACAGCCGCGAGAACGCCATACGGAAGCTGAACCAACTGCTACTTCGACGATTTCGGATGCCCGGGCGTCGCGATATCAAAGCAGGGGTAAACCCCATCGAGCCGGTGGACCTCCAAAACTTGGTGAACTGGAGGGGTGAAGGCCCGTTTGTTAAACAAAATGACCCTATTGGAATTCAGCTGCTGTTTGCGGACCTCACTCACGACGATCTTCCTACCGGCTTCGTTTTTGACCAATTTGGGCTTCTGGTCCGGTGCCCGTCCGACCGTTGGGAAGAAGAAGCTGGCTCTACAGACTCGGGTTTTGACACTGCTGTCGAGGAGATTGTCGATGCGACCCCGGGAGAGGGGGAAACTGGTGGGCTGTTCGCCGCCGTCAACCGAAACAGCGAGGACGCCGGCCTCCCAGATCTGCCCGACGACCTTGCCTATAACGCTTCCTCCCTCCTGTCAACGCCTCTGAGCTCGCCTCCAGATTCTCCTTCCATCGAAACCCTGTCTAGGGCCTCTATGCCAAGACGAAACGACACGGCCTCGCCCAATGATGGCAACGCTAACGACGACTCGCAACCTATCTCGAATTCCGCAGCAATCGCACGGCTCCGTCCGCGGAGAAAAAAACCAGACTACCACGAAAATCCACAAAGAATCCAAAAACCAACAAATTATCAGCTTAGGTCACTTCCCACAACGGATCTTGGTAAAAAGCGATGCTGTCCACCCGAAATGCCGCCAATGCTGCTGGTAGTTCTGGACAGGCTCGATGCCCACGCAGTCAGGCGGTTGCTATTTACATCTACGTTACCTGACGTTCCCTTTCAGGCTATGTGCTACGCACATCTCAAGAAGTTCGTGAAAGCGGTAATCAGTACGGAGCCCTCTGAATGGCTGCTAGGGGCTGAGAACGATCTCTACCCAACTAGCCCCGACAAAGACCCCTACCCCCGACGGCGCCGTGCATCACTCCCTGACCTCGCCGACAGCCCCCCCTTAAAAAGGCTGCGGCTTGATGACCAGGTGCCAGTTCGGAGCTGTCCGTCCGCTCCAAGGCAAGAACAGCCCTTAGGGTATGAACCAATTCGCGATGTTGCCTACCGCCGGCAGGCACTCGAGGAATTGCAATCGACAGGGCACGAGAAGGGCTCTTGGGGTAAGCGGACAAACGAGTTGGTCTTTCAAATTCTACGCAAGAGCAAGCTACTAACAGATGGGGAAGCATACTTTCTATATGGAGAAGAAGCAGCCCGAAAAGTCGAGTTCGGGCTAGTTAGTATGCCTATCTTCACGCAACGTCAGCAACGGTATCAGTGGGTGGGGAGCGATCGCCCGGTTTCGCAGTTTTTCCGCCGTATAGAAGATCTTGGCCTTGATCGGGCCGTATCGGTTCAGGTACCCTCTCGTACTCTACGAGGAGACTCTTATCAGAGAAAAACACTTTCGGAAGTTCGAGACCGGTTCCTCGCACAGCGCCCGACAAATAACCCCTGGAACCTTCTTGATCTTCAGAGCCCGTTACCTTCAGCCCTACCATCCTTTCTAGAAGGAGAGAATTGCCAGCTTCTTCTCCAAGTACGTGATGCGATTCTGATGGGTGGCAGTGCCGAAAGAGTAGTAGCACCTGGGCAAGATTGGAATACATGGCGTAATGTGATTGACTGGGCACTCCTATCTGAGGGAGGACACAGTACAGCACCGCATATGGACAGCCATGGCTACTCAACCTGGATTACGGCTCAGGAGGGGTGCATCGGCTTCGGATGGATGTCCCACCCAAGCCAGCAGGAAGAAGAGGCATGGATGTCCAATCCGTATAGCTGTACCGATGGAGAATGGAGATACGTCGTCCTCTCGCCAGGGCAGACGGTATTTTTCCCGTCCCGTACAATCCACTTTGTTTTCAGAATACGGGGAGCACAGACATTTGCACTAGGTGGCCACATCCTTCAATGGTCTGGTATTAACCAATGGCTCCGAGTGGTTATCGCTCAAATCCGAAACCCAGATATCACGAACGAAGATATAGGGTCGAGTGCGTCAAAGTACGTCCACATCATCGAAAGACTCCTGATGAATCGGGTCCGGGCGGGTAGGGAGGAGGAGGTAGGCGGTCAAGATGCGATTGTCAGGTACTCCTCCTTGTGTAAGGCATGTCTGTCTGTTATTCCGTCTGCGAAGGATAATCTAACGATGGTTTAGGAGTTTGAGGCCGCTGCTACGGCACGCTCGCATGCGGCAGATTGAAGACCTTAACGGCGGATGGCTGAATTCTCTGCGCACGCGCATTGCCTTGCATCTCCATGGAGACATCAGAACGATTTGAGGAAGTGATTTGCGGGGACTGCACACCTACCGAGCCCCCATGGTGGACGCCCTACTGTCACAACTTACACCCAAACGAGTCGGACTGCAAGGTAGGACGCCTAGGGTATTGACAGTGCGGAACAAAGGTTGACACAAGGTCCGGACAGTATGGCCACTGTCACTACAAGTCGAAGAGACCGCGGGAACACGAAACACGGTTGTACAATGGCCATCGATAGTAAATAAGGCCCAGCTATCTCCTAATATTTCTGTCACAATATTGGGATTAGTGAGCAAGAAAGATCTAGAAGCTGCTATGTGATTCTTCGCCACCAGCTTTTGCCACTATTCATAACTATAAAAGAGAGACTTTTGGCCCTGCCAAAGGAAACAAGAGATTAGACCTTTCAGACAATTCAAGCCTTACCTCCCTGCATCAAATGCTTCATTTCCGTTGCCCTGTGAATGCGCGTGACAATTTCCTTATATATGTCCCGGCTATTATCAAACACTTTAACGAAGGGTTAAATAACGTAGTTTGAGTAGTGAAATTGAGGTTTTATTGTGGTAAGGAAGTAATCTTCTGAAGGAAAATTGGAATAGGGGCTTTGACCAGCTTGTCGGTGGCAACCCCGAATTATGGGCTACACTTGCACCAATTTGGCTTATTCATTGTGCCCAGCAGTTATTTATCAGTCGGGTAGTTAAATATTAGTGCGCGGACCTCGATACTCTCGCGAGGGGGACAGTCCTTAGGGCTATCTAGGTGTTGGAAAGATGTATGAGGACAATCTTACGTTTACGGCCCTTTTAATGCTTGACGTAGAGCGGGAGGGCACGGGAGGGTCGATGTACTCGTAGCTCTAACTAAGGGATCCGAGTCAAAGATCTTCAAAAACATAACCTCCTCCGGTTTCTGCCTTGACAGATAGTGCCATTTATGATCAGGGTTGTAGTACGCGTAAAAAGCGCACCCTTTGAACCTCCGCCGAGCGTGGTCACATTCCACAAGGTCTTGTTGCGACATCAAACTCGACTCGCAGAGAGCAAGTGGCCACTCTTGAACGGTATGCCGCAAAGGACGCCATGCGCTGAGCCATGTTAATTACTAAGAACTCTGAGACATGCGCTTTCTATAGAAGGGGGCTTACTTGATGATGCGGACCCGTCCTTTTAAGAGGAACGGAGCGTCCCCTCGAAGCTGCAATCGGATTCGATGAACGACAGATCTGGGAGTCTGGTCTTTTCAGGCTTTAGAGGATAGATAAGAATTGATTGGAGAGTAGATAGAATTAGAATGTATGTCTAGGAATTGCGTACCAACGTGCACTCGAGTGACGGGGTCAAGCCACGCATTATGTCAACTATCTTGTTCTCGCGGTCATGCTTGGACGAATATGAGGTCCGTATCTAAGAGAGTCCACAGCTGTGAGTATGGCTGTCACGGCATGGCCCGTGCATGACATGGCACGTAGCCCACAACCACCTATTTCCCTGCGTCCTACGCAGTCTCTGCCATAGCTTCCTTCTTCATCTTTAGATTCTACGAATTCAGCAATGATTACTGCAGCCCTGTCTCCTTACGTTGACTGAGCCGTGATAATTGCACAACTTCGGTTAGCGCTCCGTACTCTAAATACTAGAAGGACGTACGCGCCAGTCGGAAAAGAAGACGCGGTCATATCCTCCGTCAATAAACTTGAGTTCTTGTTCGATCTCAGGTAGGTAGCGGGATTTGATCAACTCGTCGTGACTCGTAGCTCAGTGCGGTAGGACACTCCTGGACCTCCTTTTTTTGTCGACACCGAAGACCTTGGCTGGGAGGAAAGACGGCTATCCACTTCGCCATGTCTGCTTGGCGGAACTCGCGGATTTACATTTTGCTCTCCGGATGTGTGGGAGACAGTGTCGACATCCAGGGTACTTCTGGCGATCCGCAGCCCTACATTTTCGGACTGACATAGATTGTCGCTTCGCAAATCACCTGCACTCGAATCCATGGAATATCGGATACTTGGCAGAACCTCTCCGCTCGAAGTACTTGAACCATTATACGGCATGATTGGCAGATGCGCCAAATTAGCGAAAGATAACGTGCATGCACGTTGGTCGAACTAAGGTACTACCTCATATCCCACATATGCAATGGCTTGTTCACGCGACGTCGGAACGCCAACATGATTAGCAGATGGTCACAGAACGAGGCATACATCAGGCGGTGAATCGACGGTCGAAAAGTTGCACTTCGATAGAACCAATGCACCATTGCAATCCCATCTAATCCGGAAAACCACGCAAGTCAGCCCCACACACACACAAACATACACACCCGGACACAGGACTCCCTCAATACTCAACCCTTCGTGCCCAACCCCAAGATTCGACATGTTTTACTCCCCATTCCAAAACCTCGTTCACAAATTTCACCAAAACACCTTGATATATGAAGCATTAAACCGTATACTTGTATGTTCCACAACCTGACAAGAACGAAGCTGCCAGCCAAAACGACCCCAGAGGCGGTGCCCAGCCAACGCTCGTGTTGCAGACGGATAAGAGCGAGAACGAGGACGCAATCTCAAACAAGAATACCAAGGAAGTAAAGGAGGAGTAAGAGGACAATCACGGGAAGAAAAAGAATGCGCCTATACCAAAGAAGTCAAGACAGAGAGCCCGAGATCACCAGCGGTAGCCACAGCTGCCTTAATGGGTGGGCACGTCGCCAAGGGCGTGGCTGCTGCGAGTTCCCAAATCCTGTTTCAGGGAAAGAGGCTCCCCCTGTGCGAAATGTCCTGTTCGCTCTAGGTTGTTCCCGCACAAAGTTCGCTTCCGTCCCCCCGAACCTCATTACCCCCTACTGACAATTTTACTGGCTATTTTGTGTCTATGTACCTGCCAGGTCTTTCCTGACCCTCGGCTTTTGTCTCTTGGCGGATCGTGGTTTTCGCGGTTGCCGTTAGGACCCGCAGGGAGTCTGGCTCTGATGGCGACGCGGCAGGTGCGCATGTTCCCAGGCGAGGGAAGCGGCAGAGTTGCTAGGCTTGATGGCGTGGAGATGCGCATAGCTCTCCTAGAATCACTCATCTCCCAGCCCCGGGGTTCGGTGGACAACAGCCAGCTACCAAGGCGATCAACTCCTTTAGTACCGCTTCCCACCATCAATTCCGGGACTGCTACTTGTGCTGAGAACGGTTTCTCCTGATGATCTTTTCCCATGCGGGAAGTTCCTGCGGCCGAAATTGACCGCACAATTCATCGGCTCCATAAGAACGATTAAAACTACAGATTGAGGATCTCAGAGTTACTTAGCCGTACCGATATTCGAAGTGCGTAAAGTTGGGTGGTTCCGGATTCAAGTCTGTTACCAGAGAAACAAATTGCGACTTATGCGAAGGGAGGCTGTGATTCGCTAGGGGTTGAGTGTGCTAACGGCTACTTCTACTACGAACAGCACCTAGGTTGATTATGAGTCTACCGACAGAGCGTGGGGTGCTCTTCGAGAGAGCCCGAAGAGGATTTTTTTTTGCACAATGCCCCACTTAAAGCCTCACTGTTCCCTGCACCTTTGTTAACCCCTCGGAAACTCGGACCAAAGGTGGGGGGTGATACTATACCTCGTTCCAGCCTTAAGGCTTACAACTATAAGTTCTTCTTATCAAATGCAAGCTTTATGAGGTCTTCAAACAGATAGTTCGGTCTGTAGGATTTGCAAAACACGTCTCCGTATGACTTAAAACCCAGTTGCGAATTACCGACTCAAGTTTTCCTACACGCAAGAACAATTAGCCACGCCATATCCTCTGACCAAGTCTCACGGGCAGGGGCCGCCGTACCGTTTAGATTAGATCCTGCACCGACACAGTCGAGTATTGACGCAGGTTATCTCGGAGGCAAATTAGCCATATCGCACAATTCCAAAGCTTCCAGAATAGATGATAGCCAATATCTACAAGTAGTACTCCTTTCCTTCCGTCTATTCCCGTCACTTCGTTCGTCTACTTAAACGGAACATAGTCGACGTACTCCAACTTGGGCTGCTTGAGTCATTCGTTCACCGTTTTATAGCCGGCCTCGAATGCTTCATCGGTCAACGCCCGCGCGACGATATAGCTCGCTAGGTAGATGACCTGGCATGGTACGGAAGAAGTATTAAATTGAACACTAAGAGCAGGATATTCGAGCCAAAAGGAGGGGAGGCTGGGAGGGCACCAGCAGCCGGCAAGGCACATGCTGATCCCCTTGGATCTCTTCCGGAAAAGAACCCCATAAGTCACCACAATAAACGGACCTCTGACACACTGCCACGCCCTCAATTCCAAGCGTTCCTAACCATTGCTGACGAACCTTGGTCCCTGGAGTGAATATTCTCTCCTTCGTTATGAATGTCAAAATTCCTGGCTCCCAAAAGCACCTTTCTGCCAGAATCTCCAACAGCGCTACCTAGTTTGGAAGGTCGCCGCTCGTCCCGGTGGTTAGAGGCTCTACAAAAGGTAGTAACTCAAGAGGCCGAGCAGGTAATATTTGAGTGAGCATAGTCGAAGGCTTCCAGATACCCTATCATCTGGATAACAGCGGCGCAGACCACCAGAATGTGCATGAATGAGTGGGAGCTGCACATGTCGAATTTTCCAGGCCACCAACTTTCGGGAAACCTCATCTTTCGAATCACGTGTATTAGGATAAATTTTTCTCCTGTATGGGCAAAATGGGAGACTCACTGCATAAAGCGCTGTTCCAGAGAGAAGGCAGCCTATCTTTGCCACCATAGTATAGGTGAAGGCTTTTTTGTTCATCAGGTCTAGCCCGAATACATCGAGCCCATGAATCAAGGGCGCCACAACGGACATGCCAGTCGCCACGAACGCTACTGTTCGCATGGAACGATACTTGTGGCTCTGGAGCTTGGGATGGATGTTCGTGATGATGGTCAATGCCCCGAAAACCCCAATCTATTGATCGATGAAGACGGCGTTAGATCCGATTACCAGTCCTGGGACAGAAAAAGCCGAGCATATGGAGATCAACTAACCATAGACCAATAAATATTGCGTAGCGTAGTCTCACACCAAAAGATTATGTATATTCCCAAGACAATGTCACCGACTATGAAGATCCCTATACCAAGCATATCTAGTCGGTGGCAGAAATGGTCCACGGTGCAAGAGTGGTTCATCAAAGTATGATAAAGAGCCGAAAATGCATAGCAAATGGTCGCCGTAAGCATGAAGAATGAGAAAGCAACAAAATCGGTGCTAGTAACTCTGGAATATTTACCAGCTAGGTACTGCAAGATATACCACTCGCCGAGGAGGAAGACAACGGCCGGAATAAGATGGGAATAGATGTTGACCGTCTCGTTGTGGAGATACCGCCAACTGCGGAACGAGGCGCGAACCGAGCCCGATATGGGCCGGTAACCGTGAAGAATCCACTGGTTGTTGTCGTGTCGAAACCATTCCGGCATCTCATCGAACGAGAGAAGAGCCGGGCGTCCTGCCTCACCGGACCCAGACCCGGATGCGTCGTCTTCCATTCCCCGCCCTTTGCGCGCCCCTGGCTTCTTGGGCGGAATTCGGAGACGGGGAGCGGACGCCATTTACTGTCGCACCTAGTGATGTGTAATGTCTGAAGGCCGGAGTTTGAGAGTGAGTAAGAATGGAATCGAAGAAATGCGTTTCCTCTTTGCTTCGTAGTTTTTTTGTGTCTTGCGAAGTTGCGCCGCGGCTCTTTTCTTCGGTTGGGCTCGCTAAGCGCCAGCCTCGCTGGGCTGGTTGCCTGGGCCCACTCACACTTCTTCGGGGACTCGACCAGATGGGCTTTTTGCCGGTCAGCGTCTTAAAGATCCTAGTCTCTGATGCGAGGGCCATGTGTCAACAATTGCACAAGTTGAGGGGCGCGCTCCTAGACTGTGCTGCGATGCTAGTACTAGAAGTAGTCTAACGCTATTAAGCAATCGACCCTACATGCCACAGGCCACAACCGCTAATTATTGGAGCAGATACAGCGATCTCAGCGACGCGGTAGCCTATGTTAGGGCGCTGTTCTGTGGTTGCTGTAGCTGTGTGGCCCCAGCAGCTGCCTGATTTGGTTAGAATCTCCTGGTACTAGTGCGCTGCACAGTCTGGTAACGCGTCTTCGAGCTGAGGCTGAACCTGATCATCCTGGCTCAAACAACTCGACGTGGTTGGTTCCTACTTGTTCCGTCACCAGCCCCATGCGTCTCAAGCATGCAGTCAGTATTGATGGATTTGATTAGTCCCTTTTCCAGCGATAGGCGTACTGGGCAACGATGATGGACCCGGCCCCAGCTACTAACTACGGGCTGGTAACGATGCGACGGCCTAAAAAGTCGCGGCCCTGCCGCGCAATGGACAGACCGTTCAGGCAGCTTCACGCACCGGGCTAACACAACGCATCGGCACCGACGCTCCCGGAGTCTCTTGTTTCTTGACCTGCGCCCTGGCTGGAGATGGCGTCCCGTGAAGACTATGCAGTTGGGTGGGTCTGCCGTTTGCCTGTTGAGGTGGCCGCGGCCAAAGCAGCGCTCGATCGCGTCCATGAAAATCTACCCACGGATCAGGATTCAGACGGCAACAACAGCTACATTCTGGGGAATCTTCAGGGCCACAGTGTCGTTGTGGCGTATCCGAACGTGTACGGCAAACTGTCACTGGCCGACGTGACCGCACAGTTGCATGCAAGCTACCCATCTGTCCGATTCAATCTGATGGTAGGCATTGCAGGAGGAGTGCCCGATACGAAGGATGATGTTCGTCTCGGTGATGTTGTTGTCAGCAAGTCGGCAGCTGGGTGGTCGGGTGTCCTCGAGTACGACGTGAACGGGGAACGAGCGAAAGATCAGATTGCTCTCGGCAGAGCGTTGGATCAGCCGACACTTTTGCTTCTCGCAGCTTTGGGGAAGGCCGAGACAGCCGCCATCTTTGAAGAAAGCAAGATGCCCCGCTACATCTCCGAGATCGTGCAGAAAGATCCAGTTACCTTTGCCCACCCTGGCCCAGAACAAGACATCCTCTTCGACGCAAATTATGATCATGCAACCAATGAATCCGAAGAAGGCGGATGCAGTCATTGCGACCCGGATAGGATCCGGTCAAGGCAGCCGCGTGAAGTACAGGATCCCGTTGTTCATTATGGCTCAATTGCCTCCACCCGCCATTTGACGCGCAACGGAGCAGGCCGGGACCAGTTCGCACACAAGCATGATATTCTCTGCTTCGAGAAAGAGGCAACTGGGCTGAGGGATGCCGCTCAGTACCTGATCATCCGAGGAATTAGCGACTACGCAGACTCGCACACCTCAGATATCTGGCATGCCTGGGCTGCAGCGACCGCAGCAGCATACGCAAGAGAAGTCCTTTCATTCGTGCCTGCCGCCTCCAAGACGATACCTTTGGCCGCAAACGCGCATGCCGAGGCTGCACCCGTTCTTGACGCCTTACTTCTAACAAGACCGGACGTTGATCGGAAGTCCCTCATTGCACTGAAGGGACGCAGGGTTGATGGAACCTGCGAGTGGGTTACGAAGCATCACCATTATCAAGAGTGGCTGGCAGATACGAGTCAACCACTCCTCTGGATCTCAGGTGGCCCTGGAAAAGGGAAGACAATGCTCGCGATTTATATCACCGAGGTGCTACAACCACTGGTTGACGCTGGTGACAATGTTCTCCTCTATTACTTCTGCAGTAATCGTGACAAGAATCGGAACACCGCATTGACCATATTGAGAGGCATCCTGCATCAATGGATCGATCTCCAGCCCCACCTGGCCAGAGAAGTCAAGAGCTCATTCGAGGGGGCGGAGACGACCAAGTACACAATGTCCAGTTTTATCGCGCTGTGGAGGGTTTTCCTGACTCTGCTCCAGCAGACTACATCTTCTCAGGTAGTCTGTGTCCTCGATGGTCTCGACGAGTGCGAGCAGGAATCACTTAGAAAACTTCTAGATGCCGTTGGAAGCTACTTATCGAAGTCTGGGGAAGGGGCAAAGGCACGACTGAAGCTCATTATTCTCTCCCGACCTCAGCCGGCTGTGTTGGAGAGCAAACTCGTTCGCTATCAGCAGATTCAGTTGGACGCCTCCGACACGGAAACTACGCATGATGTCGAGAGATATATCTTTGCCAAAGTCGCCGAACTGGCGTCCGAGCAAGACCTTTCCGAAGAGATGGTTGCGCAGGTTCAGCAGAGCCTGCTAGCTGGCGCTGATGGTACCTTTCTGTGGGTCGCATTCGTTGCTAATGAGCTTCAGGGCCGGAGTTGGAGCAAGATTGATGAAGTGCTCCGCCAAATTCCCAAAGGCCTGGGTGGGATTTATCAGCGGCTTCTTCGGCAGGTCGACGACAAGGAAGCTTTGGTCCCTATTCTTCAATGGGTTGTTCTCGCTGCCCGGCCCCTTACACTGGAAGAATTGGCCGTGGCCGCAGGGGTCAAGGCGGCTGGTACTATTCCAGCAACGCAAGTGACCCGGAGGCGGCTTAGGGTCGGCGGGTTGCTCGTGAAAGTCGAAGGAGACGTCGTCAATCTGGTTCACGAATCGGCGAAAGAATTCTTCCAGAGCGATCAAGTCAACATCAAAGGGATCGACATGTTCCATATGGGCCAGGAAACCCACAGGAGGTTCATGCAGACCTGTTTGGCTCACGTAGAATGCGGGTACGGAAATTCCAGCACGCCCGGCCAGGATCCCTTCTTATCTTACGCCAGCCAGTACTGGCCGGTGCATTTCCACCACGCCATTTATGTGATCGATTCAGCGACAGAATTCTCGCGTCCATTCTTTCGAGCGGACTCTCCCATCCGGACAGAATGGTGGAAAGTCTACTGGGAGCAGGAGAAGAACGGTGGCAGCCCACCCACCTTCACTCTCTTGCATCTCGCGGCATACATTGGAAACGTACCCTGGACCAAAATGTTACTCGGCACACATGCCCGCCTCATTTCGCGGAAGGACAATTACGGCCGGACACCTTTGTACTGGGCAGTCAACAGAGGTCACCGAGAAATGGTGGAGCTCCTGCTTGAACATGGGGCACGTGTCAACTTCAAGGATCGAAGCATGTTAACTGCCTTACACATAGCAGTAATCGGTCAAAACAGAGACGTTGTGTCGGTGCTGCTCGAGCACGGTGCCCGCATCGAGGCCAAGGGGGAGACTGGCGACACGGACACCCCATTGGTGCGAGCCATTTTGGTGAACTCGAGAGAAATTACGGAGGAACTACTCGAGCAAGGAGCGCGCGTGGATAAATTGCCATCTCTTCTGGGAGTTGCTTCTCTGAGGGGGCCTACGGATTCATTAGATGGACGGGTGAAAGAGCTACTTGGGCTCCAGGAGCAGGTCCTAAATGCGCGCTTCAAGCATTCGACGCGAGCTGTGGACTTGGTCACGAAGGGACTGGTCCTATCCATCCGCATTCCTCTGGTCCTTAAATTGATGACTCTCTATCTCAAGTATCTAGCGTTGAACCGCATGGACAGTCTGCCTGTGCTGCGGGAGCTGGTCCAGGAGAACAAGATGAAGCAACTGCGGGCATGGGCAAAACCGTACCATGTGTTCCTCGCGGGGCTGGTGTATGCTAAGAGTGCGAGGAAGCTCCAGGCCATGGGCGACCTGCCGACATATGTCTTACAGAAGGTCACGCCCGGAGATATGCAGGCACTGGTGGTCATCATGACCTTCACCGGCATGGAGACGAAATTCACAGCTGTTCAACACGGATGGAAGCCAGGAGACGACATCACATCCGCGGCAATCGCAGACTGGGCCGCCATCGCCTACGGTAGGGACTCTCTAGAATACTTCCACCTCGGCATCAGAGAATTCCTGATCGATTTCGATGGTTGTATCCGGAATGAGAACCGGGAAGAGAACGTGCTCCGAACGACCTTACTCATGACGGTCCACTTCGCCATGCTCGACAAACAGAAACCAGGGCCGATCGAGTACATATCCCGGGTCACCGCGGAGTTCTTTGAAGGATACATCGGCAGCGTTTACGAGGCTGGGTTGTTCAGCGACGCGAACCAGGCGTACGCAAACAAGCTGCTCGTCGCCAGCGACAGCCGAGACTCTGCCCTGTTGCGTCTCCTCCTGATCACCATTTTCCAGTGCGCCCAGCAGGCCAACGAGAAGGGACAGGAGCGCTTTCTCAACATACCCTCGGCCGCGTGCTTAATCCTCTGCTATGAGAACGCTGCCGCCCACCAGTGGCTCATTGGTGAGGTCATCCCGGAGGAGATGGCGGCGTTGATAGCCCAGCAGCCTCCGGGAGCGCTGCAGAAGCGGGCTTGCAAGGCTTTGATAGAGTGCCTGATCATTGGGAAGCAGTACGGTTTGAGCGCGCGGAAACAAAGCGTCGAGAAGCATCTGCGGTCCTTGCCGGAGGTTGAACATATGATGAATCGCATACTGGGTGTATAAAGAATTGCGCGATGCGCACTCACGGTCCTGTAATCGCGCACAAATTCAAAACTTGGCGTACTAATCATGGACGGAATTGATGTATTTGCGGCTCTCTGGTTGTATCTACTATTAGGGGTGGTGATGGCGGAGATCATCGATTTGCTAAGCATGTCAGGCGTGTCCTGTCCTGTGTTTCTTCATACTTCGCGAGCTAGAGGGTGAAGGGTGGACCTCCACCGGCGCCTTTGAGTGCTGCAGTCGATTCTCCGACAGGTCTGTCGCCCATGATTTCCTCCCAGGCAGCTGAAGGGCCCTCTCCACTGCGGAGGTAGGACCCGCGGTGTTTTGGGAGGGGGTCTGCCAAGAGGCTGAAGACGGACGACCGCCCGATTTCGCAGAATCGACGCGTTCGCAATCTTTACAGAGGCGAATGTTTTGGCGGAAACTTTTGATCAACTCCAAGTTATCATACAAGAAGTAACCCAGAGTCATCATGTTGTGATGATGCCGTCGCACAGGCACAGATTCGTGTCAGTCTAAGTCGTTTGTGGTGTCGACGCCGGGCGGAGGCACGGAAATAACGACAGTAACCACTCGGAGGCAGACACAGCCCGGCAAGGCGCGCCAGGCTGCCATGGTCAGCGGCAACCCCTCAACTTTCTAAATTATTATTGTGCTGCAGCTGTGCCGCACAAGTACCTGTAGCTGCCCGACAGGATATGCGCCCAGGCGGGCAGCTGTGACGGCGTCCTGAGGATCTGGGAGTGAACGTAGCACAGCCTGATCCGAGACAGACCAGTACACAGCACCTACGTGATCTGCCAACGTTCGTCCAGCCAACGTTGGACAAAAATCCCGGTGCGATCCTCAAATCCATCATTTTAAATGCGCAATCATGGACGACGACGACGCCGATGCCCCAAGCCTATTGCAATCCGTGCTTGCACTATTCGCTGGAGAACGACCGCAAAGGTCGGCGAAGCCGGCGTCACTGCGATCACGGAAGCGCCAGGCCTGGCTTCGCGCAGATTCATTTATGCAGCGTGATGATCTTCGCGAAGCCGACCCAGCGAGCGTCAAAAGGACTCTGCGCGCATTCGAACATCTTGTTCAGGACGACCCTCATCGAGAGATAGATTTCGTACGTCTTCGGCCTATTGACCCCTCACTTCCTGCCTATTAACGACGGTCGCCCGAGCAGAATTTCGAAGAAGATGGAAACGAGCGATTTCCGAATCTTCGCCGCATGGTCGAGAATCCGAGTCGCGATCCGCATGCCGACCTAGGTGCAACCATTTGCGTTGGTAAACGGGGACGGGAATGCGACGATGCAATACAGGAACTTTCGCAATTGGAGCAAGATAGGAAGAAGCGCCGAGTCCTGCCTCGTGAAGAGCCAACCCGCGAGTCTAGCCTCGACCCCAATGCCAACTTCGCCGTGCTGATGAGGAGACATTTGGTGTCCTTGGACAATGCGTTGCGAAGACACTGGGTTTGTGTTTGCCAGAAATGCTCAGGGCTGAGCGTGAGACTCTCGCTGCCACAACACAAGCAGGGGGCCAACCTCGAGTCTGAGGCAAGTTTCGAAGTGTTCTTCGGCGTACGGTCCGTACCAGCTAGTATTCTGCAGGAGGCCAGAATCACGGTCAAGTAAGTACTCGAAGCATTGTGTGATCAAGCGCCTGGCTTCCCTCTATTCGCTAACACGGACGGTGCAGAGACCTACACCACAGCCTCAACAGGCGCTCATCTGACCCGATACTGAGCAGTCCACCCGCCTTTGCCCACCATATACTATGCCAAAGCATCACTGAGTCCATCGGTCAACGAAATTGCTTACACTTCGCTCTCGAGGATGGAGTGTTTCAGAGGCTTCGTCCGCAACAAAAGACATTTGGGACTGACCGAATGTCAAGCACAGTATCCTTGTCGGCCTTGTTCCAACGCCAGCAAGAACTACACGGTGGAAAATCGGTGCTGCCATTCAAGGGGAAGGCAGTATTGGCTGCTACCCTGGCTTCAGCTATTCTTCCCTTCCTGGAGACACCATGGCTGCAGTTCTCCTTCAATCACTCAAAGATACAATTCTTTGAGCCACGGCAGAATGGAGAACTCCCCGACATCACGAAACCATTTCTGGCTCTGGAGCACGTTCCAGTCATGCCAGCCCGCAATACCACCGACACCGGAGATGCCTCGAAACACATATTTCACCCTAACGCTAGCGTCTTAGCACTAGGCATTCTTTTATGCGAGCTTCACTTCTGCACACCTGTCGAGCTCATGGCGAAAGAAATACCCGCCGCTGGAGTTCCTAGCGCCAGGAATATCAATGATGATTGCTACACCTGTCTTGATAAGCTTCAGATTCTGGAAGACGACGCTGGTGTCGACTACTACCTCGCCACGAAAGCATGCCTTACTGGGGAGTACTATCCAATCGGACAGCAAGTTGAGTTTGACGATGTCAGTGTCCAGCGGCTCTTCTACCAGAACGTCGTCAAACGACTTGAAAACGTGATATTCAAGGCATGGGGCATTCGATTAGGGGATCTGGGTTCATTCGACGCTCGAAAAAACGAATCTTGTTGGGGTCCTATCGGTCGAGAAGTTGTCCGCTTCCACGCGGGTCAGGTCGATTCCCAGATGGCAAACAATGCCTCTGCAAAGGGAAACTGGCATCGATCAATGTCTGACAGCGCGCCTGTGAGCTATCTCCATTCGGATATGGTGCTACGGCTATCGGGGCAGCCTTCTCCGGGATCGCAAGCCCAAGGACACCTCGCCAAGCCTTCAGAGAAGAGCTTGCATTTCTTTGATGCAAGCCACCATATGGGCCCAGGACCTAAATCAGAGTGGGTTGTTTCCCATAACTACAAGTCTCTGTCGTACTAATGACCCGCCAGAAATCCCCTTTCGGAAAGATGGATGGACAATTTACTGTCTTCGATCTCTCGCTATGTTGATCCTGTTCTCGATCTTGTCGAACCTGTGCGAATAGCTATTTTGGACTCCGGACTCGACCCTACAAACCCCTTCCTGATCGAGGATCAACAACAAGCCAACCCACAAATCAAGGAAGCGCGAAGTTTTGTACATGGAACACAACCACACGAGATTCAAGACGAGATCGGACACGGCACTCATGCTCTAGGTCTTCTTCTCAAAGTTGCCCCATGCGCTGAGATTTATGTCGCCAGAGTTGCGCGCCGGGAAACTCTGGACCATAATACCTTCAATGACATTACAAAGGCGAGATTGGTTCCACACCAGAGCAGACCTGTTGGACTGGACTAACGGACTGTGCAGGCTATTTATCATGCAGTGGAAGAATGGAAAGTGGACATAATATCAATGTCGTTCGGCATCCGTGAATATAACGAGCCCATGAGCAACGCTATAGCCAACGCACTGAACAAGCGGACGCTATTGTTCGCGGCAGCATCGAATGATGGGGCGAACCTTGACAGAGCTTTCCCAGCTCAGTATCCCGGCGTCTTTTGTATACACTCAACCGACGGAAACGGCAATCCCTCTGATTTCAACCCTACAGCAAGTGAAAAGGACGTCAACTACAGTCTACTTGGGCAGCAAGTCTCCTCCCACTGGCCCGCTGGCATGAGCGGACACAATCAGCCCATCAGGGCTCTTTCAGGCACGTCGGTGGCCACACCGATCGCTGCTGGTCTAGCTGCGTCGGTCCTGTCTTTTGTCCGTCACCAGGATCGGCAAGTTGCTGTAGAAAGTGAAAGACTGGGACAGTGGCTGAAAAGGGACAATTCCATGGACATGGTTTTTAATAGTATGGTCAGACGAAGGCGGGGCCCGGGCTATGACTACATCACGCCTGAGATTCTCTTCGATAGCGGTTCGACAGAGGAGGATGTTTACAGGAAAATCAGGGATATCAAGAGGACCATGTACAGATATCAGAATTAGCCCTATACACAGAACATTTGCACCTTATATACTGAACACAGCTCCTCACTTGCGATCTAAGATTCGATACCTAATCAAGCAGCAACGCAATAGACGTTTCCATTCTCGGTCTCATCGGGAACAGCCTCAGCCGTCTCAATACCAGCTCCATCCACATCCTCAACCAAGACACACTCGCCTTCATCTGCCTTCCCACCAACGGCCATAAAGGCGCCTTTACTGTACTCTTCCAGCTTCACTCTCCGCCCAAACTTAAGCCTCTTGACGCGGAACGCAAACACAAATTCCGCCTCGCAAGTGGACTCGACCGCGTCCTCGTCCGCGCGAGTCCAGTGCCCCTTCGGGCCAAAGGTCGCGCCCAGCGCGGTTATGTCGATGCCGGGATTCCCCTTCACCGTCGTGCTCTGCGAAGTCGAGTACTTGATCTTGGCGCCCTTGACGAGCTTCATACCCGTGACGAGGAAGAGCGCGTTGATGAGCGCAAACTTTTGCCTAGGCTCCCGCAGCCATGCCTGCACGGCTGGTCCCTTGACAGCTTGCTCGACATATTCTTGGGTAGGCTCGAAAGACAGAGTCGTCATCGTGTCGAAGGCGAAGGTATTCTTCATCTTGTTCGAGTGCTCGACCTTCACTTCGGGACCAAGGGGCAGTCCACCGGTGGCCAGCTGCAAGAATTGTGCGTAGACACCTAGTCCAACCCCCTTTTCAGTTGAGACAGTCTTCTTCCAGTTGGTCTCCACGATAGGCGGGAATTCATTGGCCACGGTAACAACACTCGCTCTGTTCAGAGGGAATTGCGGTGCTGACGTAGAGCGGATTATAGACCCAAGGCATAGCGGGCCCGTTGGTGGTGGAAATATGAAATCGGATGTCGGACACAGGAAATATGTCTTGGTGAAGGACATGGCTTCAGCTTTCATCGAGTTTACCTCGTAGATACTGAGCTTTTTTGAGTCCTCAGCGGAGAAGACAGTAGATGTTCTGAGGGGCTCAGGTTTTATAGGCACTGCCCAGTGTGTAGTAAGAATCACTGAACCGGCCAAAGGTCTCCTCTCATTTCTTCTGTAACACTGTCAGACCTCGTATGGAGGCCAATCAAGCCGTGTCTTCAGCAGCGGGGCCGCCGGGCGAGCGGTTGCTTATATCCGTAACCCATTGTCGGGTGGCCTGAGAAGGCTGAGGCCTTATGCAGTATTACAATGCTATTATCTCGAATCGCTCCGAAGTATTACTAGGACGCTTCTTGGTTTCTTCGTGGTTATGTTAAGAAGGGCATGTTGATCAGTATATAGGCCCACCGCAACCCACAGGCGCGATCGTTTATCGAAGGGCAAGGGCTCACGATAACGACCTACGGTACTTTTATTTCTAAAGGCATAGCTCCGGAGCTCGAAGAAACGAGCCCTGGTACGGAGTAGTAAAAACCAAATGCTCTGTCTCCCTGCCCCTGCGCCTTGACCTTCCGAACACCTCTGCCCGACCCGCTCATGGCACCCCTGTCTATACCTGTTAGATTGACGAGGGGCACCTAAATTTGGTGTGTACTAGTGGTAAAATCGATGCGCTAATACCTCTTTTAGTTTAGCCCTACAGGGGGGGGGAGGGGTTTGGCCAATTTCGCCGGACTTTGCGGGGATACCCCCGCCCGCCAGTCCTTCTCGGGTACGTCCACCAAAAGGAACTCCATAGCCTCGAGCGCTCTCGTCGCTATAAGTTGCGCCAAACCAAAATTTAGCAATCGACTCGAGCAGCGTCCCAAGACACGTGCTGTCTTTATACCGTCAGGCCGACCTGTGGAGTTGACTCGGCGATTTCATGGCCTCACTCGTACCTAGGAGCTTGAGAACGTCCTTTCCATGCGGAGACCAGGATCGGCTTCCTGGACTCGCGACCGCCTGCGCCGCGCCCATGGAAAGTCTTGAGCACGCGGGAGATGAGTCTATGGAAGATGTCTTCCTCCAAGACGACCTCAGACCAACCATCGCAGAGCACGCAACACAATGCCGGTCTCTTTTCCACAAGTATCTAGTTATGCCTGAAATATCGGAAGACCCTACCATCATGGACGACCAGTTGGCACGCTTTACATTGTGGACATCTAACATGGACGTATGGGGGCCTCTCAATGTGTCGTTGGACTACAGGCTCCGATTTAGTCCCACCGCTACGGATATTACACATCAGCTCCTGGATATCATTTGCGACACCTTGCTGTCTTGTGAGTAGCACCACCTTCGAATAGACTGAGTATCAAGGCTAAGAGAGTCTTGACAACAGTGAAACCAATTGACGACCGCCCACCACATATTACGAGCAGGAAGAGACAGCGCATCTCAGTCCAAGGCAGTTCAGAAGTCACGAGGAGATCCAACTACGACACCAGTGATTCGGAGAGCGATGTCGATCCAGCAGAGGAAAACATCCTAAAGGTGACGGAGACGGTTGGCGGAACAATAACGCGGCTCTTCCGTCTATCCAACGCCGTTCGAAGGTCCGCCAAAGCCAACCGGGCCCGCAAGATCGAGAGTTACAACGACAAAGACGCGAACAAGGCTATAGACGAGCTGCGTCTCTACACAAGGTGCTATATTGAGTTCCGGTTCCCAGAGGCGCCAGAGTCTCTCCGCTCAGCACTAGTAGAGGCCAACGCGTGGCGACTTCGACGGTTATATTACCAACGGTCCCATCGGAGACGCATCGACATGAGCATTCAGAGCTCGCCAACCACTCCGTCCGTTGTTCAACTCCTCAAGATGACGGGCAGCGCACCGACTGTGCGGTTTGCGCCGAGCCCTCTGTCAAAGCCTGAGACGAACAACGCGCCTGTCCGTTCTCCAGCACCAGTGACAAATGCGACTACTGCTCGACAAACCGCCGTTGCGGCCTTGTACGCCAAATCCACGACGGAAGTCCCCCGCGCAAAATCTGTACTCGTGAACAATAAATTGTCGTTCCCTTCCATACCACTAAATGGGCAGTGTATTTACTGCGGCGTCATCATTGAGTTCAAAAAGACTGCAAGGTCCCTGCTGTGGCAGTAAGTATATTATTTTCTCTGCCTGGACTCTCGAGTACCTTGCAATGGACTCACTCTACTTTGACGCAGTAGTCCCCTCTACTTCGACAGAGTAGACGTGTCTACTTCGACGCAGTAGAGGGGGCCAACACAAGTGCTCGGATCCTTAGGCATTCCTATCATATCATAAGAACGCGTGACTAATGTACACCAGAAATCATGTTATCGGAGACTTAGAGCCTTTCATATGTGTCTTTTCACAGTGCCAAGGGGGAGGTCACCGCGGGGGAACCGGTCCGCTGACGTTCGAAACGTCAAAGGCCTGGTCCAACCACATGCAGACAGCTCACGGGAATGCATGGGAGTGCAGAGCCCCTTCTCACGATCCAATCGTCTTTGAACAAGAGATACATTACCAGGAGCATTCCGTGATGGAGCACGGAGTGCCTGAAGCCCACGTCGGGACGCTTTCCCGGGCGGCGCGGAGACCAGTCCTCGACAAGGTCCTGAATTGTCCGTTTGGCGACGATTTCCAACCCCCGGATAAGGTCGAATCCAGCGCTGTCTTCTCGAGCGAAGCTCTCCAGTCGCACGTCGCCGGCCATATGAAGGAAATCGCTCTGCTTGCACTGCAAAAACTTCCCAGCGATGATCATGAGAACGCCGAGAACGTCGATAGCGACCAACCGTTAGAAAACGATGGGGCAGCCGGGGTTGTCGGAGTTGCACGTCAATCCATGTATAGCGTTCTGGAAGACGAGGACCTTGATTTCCAAGACGATGACACTGGTGATGTAGACGATAATCCTGAACGCCACGAGGAGGAAATAAGTGCACGGGTGACGGAACTCGACTTGGAGGACAAAGACGAATTGGGGATGACGAAACTTCACCACGCGGTACGAGCCGATGATCTGGACTTGGTTGAGTCTGTGATCCAGAGCGGCGCAAGTGTTGATTGTAGGGACGAAAATGGCTCAACGCCCCTGCATTACGCTGCGGGGAGTGGACTGGTCAAATGCGTGGCAGTCTTGGTTGAGCATGGTGCAGACATACGAATCACTGACAACTCTGGATTCAGCCCATTTCTCTGGGCTATCGTTGCTGGGCATGAAGACGCCACCGCTGAGCTGCTATCGATGGGCGCTGATGCCAATTCATCGAGCGCGGATGGACATTCTGCGCTCGCCTGGGCAGCCAGTACGGGACGGGTTTCAACTGCTCAAATGCTTCTGGATCGGGGTGCCAGTATGCATAATGCCCGAAATACGCAGCAGACTACGCCTTTGGAAGAAGCGGCAGCTTCTGGAAGCCTTCCCATTGTTGAATTACTCATCCGCCGTGGCGCGGATCCCAACTATCGTGATCGCGATGGATGGTCGGCGATACATTGGGCAGCAGAGGAGGGCCATCAGGAGATCGTAAGTTTTTTGCTGGACCATGGGGCCAATCCCAATGCTGTTAGCTCTTACGGTACGTCACCATTGCACTGCGCTGCAAATGGGGGGGACCTTTTCATTGTGAACTCGCTCCTCAAAAGGGGGGAAGTCGATCCGGTCAAGTCAACATGCCACGGCTGGACCGCGCTACATCATGCCGCCTTCATGGGGCACTCCCGTGTCGTTGGTCTCCTCCTTCAGGACGACCGCGTACGACCTACCGCTTCTTTGCAGGACAACCACGGCTGGTCCGTTCTTCATTTGGCCGTTCACAGTCGAGATCTAGCCACCGTCCGTATCTTGCTCGACAAATCGATCATTGAAGACCCTCAGGCCCTAGTAGACGAGAGCGGCCTCACTGCAGAAGAATGGCTGGATCGCGGACCAACGAGCCATTCCCAGAAGGCCACCAACAACCTGGCGTTCAGCAAGTCCCGTTGTTGCCAAGCCGTCACAGAACTTCGCGATGCTGTGGCCATTGGCAACGCCCCATTGATCAGATTTCTGTTGAAATCGGGCCACTACATCAATGGCATGAACTCTGGAAAGAGGACTGCGCTTTATTACGCTGCAAAGAAGAGCATGCACTCCATCATGGATCTACTTCTTGACTGGGGCGCCGATCCCAACATCCTTCCAACGGGGCGGAAGAGCTGGGAAGAATTCATTTCGCATGACGACGTTTTGCAGCGGCTCAAACTAGCAGGATACCGGAGGCGAGATACCGACCCAGAGGTGGAACGCCAGATTCGTCGGGCATTGAGAGGGCGAAGCCAGCCACCTGAGCAGCCCATACCGCACTCGCCAGAAGCAGACAAGTCACCTTTATTTGAGCCGAACAACTTCAAAATCCGTGGGCCGGATGGACCTTCGTCACCTGTTCCAGTTTCGCCAACGCCGCCTTCTCTGGATAATGTCGCTTCCAATAAAATACCACTCTCGCCAATGTCCACAGACCAGAAAAACTATAATAAGCGCAAGGCTAGATCAGGCCGGACGGATTGGTTCAAACGGCTCTGGGGTGGAAGACAGTGAGTGACCTCGGTCTCCAAGGCGAGAGTGAGGAGCGACAGAACGGCCGTGAGTTTTAATGGCCGGATCGAGTTACGAATCCAATGTTAGGATGAGCTCCGTGTCCGTATTTTTGTGAATAGCAGTGCAGTAGCTAGTCATCCTGAGCCCCGGCGCCGTCGGAAACAGCGGCGCTTTCGAGTCGCCTATACGCCGAACGATTCGGCTGTAGCGTAGCAGACCCACCGCGGTATTGTCGCTCCAATCGATCGTTACAGTCGAAATAATTGATTGCTGTCGTCAATGCAAACAGGCGCTGTCTTCGAAACAACTGATATGTCTACTCGAAATGATTGATATGTCCGTTCAAAATAATTGAGATGCTTTGAATCGATGTTAACGGGTGCTGTATCCGAAGCAATCTAGCGCTGTATTCGAAGGCAGCCGCTTGATTGCATCGACTGTAGCGACCCTCTGCCATGTTGAAGGTGGCCGATTAGGTTTACCTAGTGAGGGTGCTTCGAGTGGGTTTTTCCCAAAAGGCGTGTGAGTTGTTTCCCAAGAGGATACGTACTGAGATAACCCCTACAATTCTTCGAACCTTTACAAGCTTCTGTCAGATGGAACATGCTAGAATGTGGGCTGTGAAGGAGCTAGGCAAAGGATTCGCGGCCTACTTCGCCACTCATTTTGCCACCTATTTTGCCACCACAATAGTAGTATAAGAAGGAGGCTTTCTGGCACTGCCAGAAAGCCAGGAAGATAGAGAAGACAATCAATTGAAGCCAGTAAAAATCCTGAAGTGCAGTAATCCAACAGCTTCCCCTCCAGGCTGATCTAGCCTGAGAGACAGACGAAAATTACAAGACTTTAAAGAAAAGGCCTCAACCTTCTCCACGCGGCGCCTTTGCTCCGGCCAACTACAGCTCCCTGTGAAAAGCAATGAAGGAATACAAGAATCTCAAACAGGCCGGTGTCCAAGTTATTTTCCATCGGAGGCGAAATGGGAAACAACCTAGTCTAGATAGAACCCGACGGAAGCGAGCTAGATGTCTGCGTTTGCAGATTCGTTGGTCGAGAACGGCTGTCCCTGCCTCTGATGGGTTCTCCGTTTGAACCTAGGGACTACCGCAAACCTGTCTTAATTACTATAAAACCATACCTTGATATGAAAAGGAAACAGGGCAGCCCAACACGTAAACACCGAAACACATCATCTCTCAAAACTCTTTGGACCGGGAAAATACCACCTATCGAAAGGCACTTACTCGCTGAAGCCGCAAATAAACAGGACCATTTTTGTTTTAGCCATCAAAGCTAACCCTGTCTCCGTGACGCCCTTGTCGGCTTTGAGGACTAACTTTAAGTCGGGGTAAAGGTTGTCGACTTCTTCACCGAGATGGGCTACGAGGTCTATGATATCTATGGGTTTCGGTGCGCAAATGCTACCGTCATCGCCGAGGTGCCACCCGAGACCATCAAGGACACCTCCCGCAATGTAAACGCCCTGGATGTGGATGCGTTGCTTCAGGCTGGAACCAACTTGCCAGCCGCCATTGCCGCCGCCGAAATGGAAAAGGAGCTTGGTAAACCCGTCATTGCCATCAACACAGCGACGGTCTAGCACGCATACCGGAACAATGGCATCTTGGACAAGGCCGAGGGCTTTGGCTCGCTGCTGTCCGAGCACTAAACTTCATGTCTGGTCTTCTGCCACAGATACACAAGTAGTTACGAGCTTTAGTGCGAGAAAAGGCAATGACCAAGGATTTATGTAGCGGTACACATCTAATTGGGCTTGCCACGGTACAGGGTCTTGAAGTCTATTTAACACGCTTACAGCGCAGGTCATGTCATAATAAAGAACAAAACGAATATAAATCCATAGAGCTTAGGCCACTGTCCGCTCCCGCAATGCTGCAGCAGGAGCAGAAAAGTCGCTTGCCTCGTCGATAATGGCACCATTCCCCTGCCGGTTTACCAGAGTATGGAACTCGTCGGCAGCCCTTTCTAGGATATAGTATCGTAGTTCTCTCGTCGATAAAGACCGAAGCTCAAGACCACTTAGAATATCTGAAAGACCTTCGTCTCACTGATCCACGCCTCGACAAGAAACGTATCGAGGATACTAAGGGCGGCCTGCTCACGGAATCGTACCACTGGATCCTCGAAAACCCAGAATTTAAGCAATGGCGCGACAGCGAAGACAGTCGCATGCTCTGGATCTTTTAAGGGCGACCACAGCAAGGCAAGACGATGCTGCTCTGCGGAATTATCAACGAAATTAGCCCCTCGACGAGACTGACAGACCCAGACACCCACAAGCTGCTGTCCTACTTCTTCTGCCAGACCACCGACGCGCGCATCAACAGCGCGACCGCCGTCCTGCGCGGTCTAGCGTACATGCTCCTCGACCAGCAGCCTTTGCTCCTCTCACACGTACGAAAGAAGCACGACCACGCTAGCCAGACTCTCCTCGACGACGCGAATGCCTAGGAAGCGCTGTCTGAGATCTTCACCGCTATTCTGCAGGATCCACGCTTGTAAAGTGCCTACCTGATCATCGATGCATTAGACGAGTGTATGACAGACATAGCGAAGCTTCTAGACTTCATCGTCCACGCCTCGTCCGGATCCTGTCGAGCCGCAATTGGCTGGACATCGAGGAGCAGCTACAGGCAGCCGGACGAAAGGTCAGGCTCTCTCTCGAGCTGAACGCCGAGTCTGTGTCAACGGCTGTCGGCATATAAATCCGGCATAAAGCGCTGCAGCTGGCGCAGTAGAAGAGATATAACAAGAAAACTCGAGACACCGTGCTCCAGCACCTGTCTTTAAACGCGCAGGACACCTTCCTTTGGGTGGCTTTGGTCTACGAGAACCCCACGAAGATCCCGTAATGGGATACCCTGGCAAAGCTTCACATATTTCCACCTAGTTTTGATGCTCTCTATCGGCGGATAGTGGAGCAGATATCCTATTCGGATTATGCTGACCTGTGCAACCAAATACTAGCCTCAGCCACTGCATACCAACCTCTGACGCTCAAGGAACTGGTTTCCCTTGTCCAGAAGCTTAAGAATAGGGCTGAAGATCTCGAGTCAGTGGAGGAGATAATTGGACTTTGCGGTTCGTTTATCACTATCCGTGCGAGAACGATCTATTTTGTGCATCAGTCAGCAAAGGACTACTTATCTACGAGAGCATGTGACACGATCTTCCCTTCTAGGGTAGAAGAGGTACACTATACCATCTTCTCGAGATCGCTTGAGACGATGTCTAGAACACTACAACGGGACATATACAGCCTATACACGCTGGGATACCCAATCGAACTAGCGCTGCCAACAACTCAAATAACTCAAATATGAAGCTATATTTGAGTTGAATTGAGTTCAAAATACTGTATTTGAGTTGGGTTGAGGCCCTATTTGAGCTGAGTTGGCTTTATTTAGCCTTATTTGACAGAACTTGCCGCACCACCAAAAAACACGAAAATCTAGCCAAATTTGGCCCCGAATTGACTCCCTAGACCAGAAAAGAGCGCTGAATCCAGCCAACGCCCTCAAAACAAGCCCCAGCTCTTCAGGCACATGAGGATATTGATGGTATCGTCGACCAAGGAATGTCGTTACGTGCCAATAACCAGCTTGGCTTGGCTGAAGGCCTTCTCACACTCAGATGACATCGCTGGTATCGACAACAGGTCCAAAGCCATCCTTGACAATCGAGGCCAGCGTCGCTGGTATCGACAACAGGTCCAAAACCATCCTTGACAATCGAGGCCAGCGCCGCTGGTATCGACAACAGGTCCAAAGCCATCCTTGACAATCGAGGTCAGCGTTCCTTGTGAGCCAACCACCAAGTTTGTATGTCATCCACCGGCCAAACAGGTTCTGCAAAGCACTCAGCCAGCTCGTCTTTCTGGCCCAGGTCCTCAGGCGGGTCGTAGTAGTCGTAAGAGCGAAGATGACTGCCTGGGCCTGACAGGGCTGGTGGCTGCGGCGCTGTAGGCACAGGAAGATCGGCGTATTCGGCTTGGTAAAGATCACGGCAGGCAGCGAATGCCTTCCTGGCCCTGTCAGGGCTTAGGCATTTATCCATCCACCTCTTGTGCCCAGGGTGCAAGAGCATAGCGACCCAGTAGGCAGAGCTTTCTTCCATCAACCCAATGTATTCTTGATGGCACCAAAAATCGACCTAGGCGCGCAATCGCACTACGCGCTAGATCATATAGAACACCGAGTTCCAACGCGTCGAATTATCGCCACAAAGCTGTAAGCCCTCGATATTCCTATCAAAAATAACAGAGCCGAATTCGCGAGCCTCTTCTTCACTCAACTGGTCGCGCGCGATTTGAAGGAAGGTCTCGCGGCGTTGTGGCGACCTGCGAATGAAGTGCACCACGTTATGCAGCTTACCAACTGACCCTTGCTTCCGCCAACCTGCTAGTAAGGCCTCTTCTTCTTCAAGCGATAACTAACCGATGAAGTCATCGTCAAAGGCTCGATCAAGGTGGGTTAACTTCCCTAGAATGAAGGCTTGTGCGGTGAGGTTCAGAACGTGGCCAAAACAGCGTAGCCGACGCTGTAGGGCCAATTCTTCGAGTTCCTGATCGCTAAGGCCAATTTGCAGGGCGCCAAGTGTGAATTTAACCGCCAAAGAGTTCGAATCCACGTTATCGCACTGGAAATAACCAAGCGAGTCCTCGATACCGTATTCCTTCGCTACCTTTGTGAGGTAAAGAGCCTGATTCTCGCCACTGTGTGAGCCGTGAATGTGCGGTGTCGCTAACAAATCGTGGTGGAGGGCGCCGTCGCGATCAGCGTAGTGCACAAAGATTGCCATATAGGAAATAGTCGATGGTGAGGTCTAAATATCGAAGGAAAGGTGCTTCTTGTATGGCGATGCTGATAACCTGTGGCGTAGGACTTCCTTCTGGGCATCAAGCCGATCGCCAAAATACGTCCGAATCGTCGTGTGTGAGCTAGGAAGCGCCTCAGCTGCCCTATCAGGGTTCAAGTTAGTACAGAAATTGCGAAATTCTTGTTGTTGAACGATATTGAATGGCAGGTTTAAGCGAAGGATCATCGCTAATAGCCTCTCTGAAGGGTGATCGTCACCTAGATCACGGAATGCGGT